TGGTAATATCCTTAATTGTAATCATCACCAAGCTAACGCCATCCTGGGAGACCTGATAGAACAGCCGTCAAGACTCTTCCTGCCATATACTGACTTCATCATCAACTCCAGAACAGTTGGTTACATTCAAATACAAAAAAAGATGCCAGTGGAGAAATAAGAACGTCCGATTCACTCTCAATTAAGTTCTACTTTGTATTGTGCTGAACTGAACAAAATCAGAAATTACTGCATTAAATTAGACAGACAAGAATAAATCAAAGCAAACTCAGGTTGGGTGTGGTGGCTCACGCCTGTAATCCCAGCACTTTGGGAAGCCAAGATGGGCAGATAATTTGAGGTCAGGAGTTCGAGACCAGCCTGGCTAACATGGTGAAATCCCATCTCTACTAAAAATACAAAAATTAGCCAGGCGTGGTGGCATATGCCTGTAGTCCCAGCTACTTGGGAGGCTGAGGCACGAGAATCGCTCGAACCTGGGTGGAGGAGGTTGCAGTGAGCCGAGATCCTGCCACTGTACTCCAGCCTGGGTGACAGAGTGAGACTCCATCTCAAACAAACAAAGCAAATTCAGTTATATTTTTCTGGAATGAAAATACCTTGAAATTAAAAGTACCTATGTATTGTCTCATCCCTTCTTAAAATGAACTATTCAATTATAAACTATGGATTTCAGTTATTACTTCAGTTATCATTGACTTATCATTAATTAACAGAAACTTTGCCTGCATAAATTTAAATTGGTGGATAAAAGAACATAAATGTGTTCAGCAAATAACTGTTGAAAAGAATCAACAGGCTGCAAGTTTTTAAAAACTCTCCTCTTTTCTGCCACTCACTTAATGAAACAATGCTAGAAACAGATTTGTTGAAATAGTATCTTTTTTGGTCACTTTCTCATTTAAAAACATATCAGGCTCTGGCTAGGCACAGTGACTCATGCCTGTAATCCCCCCGCTTTGGGAGGCCGAGATGGAAGGATCGCTTGACTTCAGGAATTCAAAAGCAGCCTGGGCAACATGGCGAGACCCCATTGCTACAAAAAATACAAACATCAGTCTGAAGTGGTGGTGCATACATGTAGTCTCAGCTACGTAGGAGACTGAGGTGGGAGGATGGCTTGGGTCCAGGAGGTCGAGGCTGCAGTGAGCTGTGATTGCACCACTGCACTCCAGCCTGAGTGACAGAGCAAGACCCTGTCTCAAAGAAAAAAATTGGCCAGGTGCGGGAGCTCATGCCTGTAATCCCACTACTTTGGGAGGCCAAGGCCAAAGGATCACTTGAGGCCAGGAGTTCAAGACCAGCATGGCCAACATGATGAAACCCCGTCTCTACTAAAAATACAAAAATTAGCTAGGCATGGTGGCATATGTCTGTAATTCCAGCTACGCAGAAGGCCAAGGCACAAGAATGGCTTGAGCCAGGGAAGCAGAGGTTGCACTGAGCTGAGATCACGCCATTGTACTCCAGCCTGGGTGACAGAG